AAGGGTAATCATTATCCTAACAGAGAGAACTGGCCTGCATTTTAGACAGCCATTTGGCAGTGGTATTATAACTGGGGCATGGCTGCAGTATTTAATGAACTGGAGACCAGAGTCAGTTTTCTGAAGCACACATTCAGTTTCCAAGGTGACACAAATGTGCCAAGGGAGAGAAAAGACCTATGCCTTTCTTTCAAGGCCCATGAACGAAGAAGTATAAGGGCCAGTGCAAAGAATGAAGGACATCAAGAGGTCCCTCAGGGAAAACAAGTGGATAAAGGCTTAATGTGAAGTTACACAGCAACAGCATATCCAGCTTATAATGGTTCCATTCATTGAAGAGTGATGTCTAAAACACAAATACACATTTAAAAATATTAAAGCCATATGTGGTAATATACCCAGCAGCCACAGGGCTCAAGCCGCAGAAATCAAAATGAAGCTGTCATGATAAGGTTGGCTGAATTACAGAGAAAATTCAAGTCTCAGACTGGGAGGGTGTTGGTGGTTAAAGAAAGGGCATTCATTGGTAAAGAATGGGATCCTATAATTTGGGATAGGGATGTATAGGAAGACCTTGCTGAAGCTGAGAACTTTGAACCCTCTGATTCTCAAGGGTTTATCTTACCTGAGGAAGTAGTGCCCTCACCCCAATCCCTTGAAATATTGCCCTTTTCATCTTTGACTGAGGAAATTAATCCTTTTTTTGTCTGCTAAACCATCAGTGACATTCTCTGAAAGAGATGCCAGGCAAGACAATACTGATGTTCCTCGGGGTCCACCAATATTTGCTTCTAGACCTATAATCAAACTTAAGAAAAAGCATGCCCCCAGAAGGGAAGTAGAAAGTGTAGTCCATAAGGAAGTGCGCTATACTACTAAGGACCTTAATGAGTTTGCTAATTTGTTCAAGCAGAAGTCTGGGGAATATGTGTGTAAATGGATTTTAAGAGTATGGGTTATTAGCTGGGCGTTGGTGGCACACTCCTTTAATCCCAGCACTTGGGAGGCAGAGCCAGGCGGATCTCTGTGAGTTTGAAGCCAGCCTGGTCTACAAAGCGAGTTCGAGGAAAGGCATAAAGCTACACAGAAAAACCCTGTCTCGAAAAAACCCAGAGAGAGAGAAAAAAAAAAAAAAAAAAAAAAGAGTACAGGTTAATGGTGAAAGGAACATAAAACGGAATCAGGCTGAGTTTTTTGATATGGGTCCCCTGAGTGGAGGGTCTAGGTTAGAAACTTACATAGTTTTATAAAGGTGTCAAAAGTTTGGTGTCAATGGTTGGCTGAAGCATTTGTTAGAAAATGGTCTACTGAAAAGGAATTGGAGATGCCTGCTTTCCCTGGGCTTAATGTTGATGAAGTGATTTTAAAACAGGGAAATGGCAATGCTAGAGTGGGTGCACTGTGTAAAACCACATCCTCCACAATGGGGAGGCCCGGAAGACATGTTCTTCACTAATCCTATAAGACACAAAATGGTGAGAGGGATAGCAGCACATTTGAAGAGTTTTGTTGTCACCCTTTTCTTGTACCAGACTTTAGGACTGGAGATCATTCTCCTCAATAGAATGCATTAAATGCAATGGGTTTAATTGGGCTCTGGGGTAGCAGGGGCCAGGTGGCAGCACTGTATCACTAAAGGTAAGGTGATGGTAGTTATCAAAATGGGTAGTGAAGACAAAACAATGTTCACAATGGTCTAACCTGTAATGGTCAGCACAGGCAAAATGTATTTATTGTGGTATGACTTGTATGGACCTTTGGTACTGGCTAATCAATCATGGTGTTTCCAGGCATGCCATAGATAAGAAGTCTACTGAACTTTTGTTTGATCTGTATAAGTGAAAAAATACTCAAAAAATGAAAGATAGGCTACATTGGATCATAGCAAAAGGCAATCTCAGCGCAAGAATAAATTTCTAGACTTGAGCTAGTCTGCAGACCCCAAACCCCTTGAATGAAGGGATGGCCAGGTTTCTTTGAGAATGGACCTTGATAAAACACCTAAAAGTTTTATTGTTAGCCTTTCTCCAGTCCTTCCCCAGAGGGACATATGACCTTCTACAAGGGTAACTGTACAGTGGGGAAAAGAAAATAATCAGACTTTGCAGAGTCTACTGGATACTGGTACTGAATTAATGCTGATTACGGGAGATTACAAAAAGCAGCTACTCCAGTTAAAGTAGGAGCTTATGGAGGTCATGTGATTAATAGAGATTTGACTGAAGTCCAACTCACAGTAGGTTCAGTGGGTCTCCAACCTCATCCTGTGGTTATTTCCTCAGTTCCAGAATGTATAATTAGGATAGATATACTCAGATGTTGGCAGAATTCTCACATTGGTTCCTTGACCTGTGGAGTGATGGCTGTTATGATTGGAAAGGCTGAAAGCCTTTAGAGTTGTCTTTGCCAAAGAAAATAGTGAACCAAAAACAATATCGCATCCTTGGAGAAGTTGAAGAAATTAGTGTCACCATAAGGGGCTTGAAAGATGCAGGGTTGGTGGTTTCCACCACATCTCCCTTTAACTCTCCACTCTGGCCAGTGAAGAAGACAGATGGATATGGAGAATGACAGCTGACTATCGAAAACTCAGCCAGGTAGTGCCTCTGATTGCAGCTGCTATACCAGATGTAGTGTCCTTACTTGTTCAAATTAACACATCTCCTGGTAAGTGGTATGCAGCTATTGATCTAGCAAATGACTTTTTGTTATTACCTGTACATAAAGACCACCAGAAACAATTTGCTTTCACTTGGCAGTTTTACTGCAAGGATATATTAACTCTCCTGCCCTGTGTCACAACATAGTTAGACAGGATCACAATCATTTGTCTCTTCCACAAACTATCACATTCATGTACTATATTGATGACACTACACTTATTGAACCAAGTGAACAGGAGGTAGTAACCACTTTGAACTCCTTGGTAACCCATATGTGCATCAGAGGATAGGAAATTAATCCATACAAAAATTAAGGACCTTCTACCTCAGTGAAATAATTTGTGTCCACTGGTATGGGGCATGCAGGAATATTTCTTCTAAGATGGAGGATAGGTCATTTCACCTGACCTCTCCCACCATCAAGAAAGGAGCATAATATTTAGTGGGCCCATTTGGATTCTGGAGACAAAACGTTCCTCACTTGTGCATATTACTTCAGCACCTATACAAAGTGACTTGGAAAGCTGCTAACTTGGTGTAGGGCCTGTAACAGAAAGCTCTTCAACAGGTCCAGGCTGCTCTACTACTTGGAACATGTGATCCAGCAGAACCAATGGTACTTGAGGTATCAGTGACAGATAGGATTGCATGTTTGGAGCCTTTGGCAGTCCCTTATAGGTAAATAACAGAAGAGTCCTTTGGAATTTTGGACCAAGGCTCTACCATCACCTGCAAACAACTATTACCTCTTTGAATGACAGCGTTTGGCCTGCTTAACCTTAGGGGAAACTGAATGTTTGACAATGGGCCACCAAGTTACCATGTGACCTGAGCTGCCCATCATGAACTGGGTGTTATTTGACTTACCAACTCATAAAACAGGGTGTTCACAGCAGCAATCTATTATTAAATGGAAATGATGGATCCAAGCATGTCCTAAAGACACATGAAGAAGTTGCCCATATGCCTATGGTTTGTACCTTTCCTTTACAATGTCATCTGCTGCCAAGTATGCACCTATAGCCTCATGGGGGTGTTCCCTGTGATCAGGTGACCCATAAGTGGACAGCTGATGCATTACAATCCCTTTCTAGCACAACCCTGAAAGACACCAACACAGAGAAATCTTAACAGTTGGCAGAAATTTGGGTAGTACACATGGTTGTTCATTTTGTTTGGAAGGAGAAATGTCAGATGTGTAGTTGTTTATTGATTCTTGGGCTATACCAATGAGTTGAATGGATGGTCAGGGGCTTGGAAAAATTGGAAAATTGGTGGGAACAGGCCACCCTGTTGTAGAAAGAGGAGATCCAGGCCTCTCCTGTTCTGTAAAACTATGTCAGCTAGGGAGGAAAGGAATGACTCGAGGGCAGAAATTCCCTATTTTCATCTATAGACAGTTGAAGCTCAGAGTAATGTTGGTTGGACAGGACCAGAAAGGCAGTTCCTGTGCCTATTCCCACTGCTCCAACCCCCAAAAGGACTGCTAAAGTGATGGCAGTAACAGGCTCCAGTCAAGGCAGTTGTCTCAGCGCGGCTTCTCTTCTTAGAGATCTAGGAATTGATCTGAGGAATAATAGGTTAGTCTAGGTGGAAGGGACCTAAGTGCCCTGAGTGGCAACACAGCAACCTGACCCAGTGATCTGCAGGTGCACTACATATGATGGTATCAGTGAGCTTCCTCTGCCATCAGTGTTACAGGATTTTTTTAAAAGAGTGTCTTTATAAGCAGAAGGTTAGAATCAACTGAGCAAGGAAGATTTGGGTCTATGGCACATGCATGTGCCTAATACAAGGCATCTTCTACCATTGCACCAATGAGGATGATGAGGGCTCCTGCACTGACCATCCCTGCTCCTACTCCTGCTCCAACTGCTGTACCTGCCGGTCCTTCACCGGTGCCCTCTCTCTGGTGCTACCCTGTTTGCTGTGCTACCTGCCAGCCACAGGCTGTGTCAAGCTGTCCCAACACGGCTATGACTGCCTGTGACACCAAGGCCAGCAAGTCCGACAAGCCTTTCTGACACTTTGGGTGAAAATTCAGCACTGCCCTTGGAAACATAACCCCTGCTGTTAGACTGGATTTGTGACAAGCAGTGTCCCTGCTCAGGCCAGAACATGATTGACTATGGGACTTGTGTGCTGTGTGAAAGGTCTCAAACACAGTTTGCTGTAAAGTTCCCACTGTCCCCCCACAGGAACTCTGAAAAGCCAACATAGCATTATTAATCAGTAATAAAGATTGTTTCCCCATCTTTTTTTTTTTTTTTCCACGTTTCATTTTAACTGACAATCTTGTGACGAAGTTGCCTGTCCCATGGCTCGTCACTTTCTTACCTGTGTCGCCTCTGCTCTCCTCCGGGATCGCGTCCTGAACCGGGCAATTTCAGGGGGATCCAACAACTTCACCAAGGCCTTGGTCTTTCCTCCAGGAGACAACGTTCAGAATCCTCAAGAGGTGGTTTCATCCACATTGGGTGCCAGTTGCCCCGACCAGCAGGGCTTCAACAGGTACTCGAACATCCTAAGGACGGAATGTAGGGACAGGAGACACAAAGGAAATACACCAAGTCAAGATTCTGATCAAGGTGCCACTTTATTTTTCTCCAGGAGGGTTTATATAGTTCCTGCAGGGTGGGGTTGGGGGGAGCAAGAAGCTGTTATCTGCATAAGGTAGGGAAAGCTAACAGGATGTTTATGTAGGATGTTTACAGGGTGAAAGGGTCAAGGGCTCTGACTCAATGTCCTGTTGCTAGGCAACCTGACTGTAAGATGATCTGGTTCCCTGTCTTATCGGGGGTCTGTATTTTTCCACTAATTAGAGATTCTGTCCTTGTCCCTGACAGGAAAGTCATATGGGGAAGAAGTATGTGGACTGATTTCTCTAAATGGGTGAAGGATATGAAGACGCCTGTGTCCCATGTAAATGCTAGTCAAAAGGTGACTTCAGCTGAGGAGTTCAATAATAAAGTAGGATGACTCATACTGTGGACAACCCCTTTCCCAAGCCATTTCTGTCATTGCCCAGTGGGACCATAAACAAAGTGGCCATAGTGGCAGAGATGGGGGTTATTTATAGACTTCGCAGTATGAACTTCCGTTCATCAAGGCTGACCTGGCTACAGTTGCTGCTGAGTCCAAATCGGTCAACAGTAGAATCTAACATTGAATCCCAGATATGGCACTATTCCCCAGGGTAGTCAGCCAGTGACCTGGTGGCAGGTTGACTACAGTGGACAATTTCTTCCATGGAAGGGACAATGCGTTGTCCTTATTGGAGTAGATACTTATTCTGGTTATGGATTTGCCTTTCCTGAATGTAACGTAATGCTTCTGCCAAAACTATCAACCATGGACTTACAGAATGCCTTATCCACCTTTATAATATTCTACAAAGTATTGCTTCTGACCAATGGACTCACTTCACAACCAGAGAATTGTGACAGTGGGCCCATGATCATAGAATACACTGGTCTTATCATGTTCCCCACCATCCTGAAGCATCTCACCTGAGATCAAGATGGAATGGTTTTTTGAAGATACAGTTACAGTGTCATTTAGGTGGCATCAGCCTGGAGGGTCGTGGCAGGGCTCTTTAAAAGGTAGTCAGGATATGCTTTGAATAAGCATCCAATATATAGTACAGTTTCTCTCATATCAGGGACTCAGAGGTTTAGGAATTAAGTGTGGAAAAGGGAAGAGTTCCACTCACTATCACCCTCCTAGTGACTCAGTAAGAGAATTTTTGTTTCATGTTCCTGCAACCTTAAGTTCCATTGGCCTAAAAGCTTTGGTTCTAGAAGGGAGAGTGTTCCTGCCTGGAGCCACAACAAACATTCCATTTCATTGAACTGGAAGCTCAGACTTCCCCTGGCCACTTTCAGCTTCTAATGCCCTTAAACCAACAGGCCAAGAAAGGAATAACAGTGTCAGGAGGGGTGACTAATCCAGATTTCCACAGGGAAATTGGATTTCTTCTCCACAGCGGAAGTAAGAAAGATTATATCTGGAGTGCAGGAGAGCATTTAGGAAATCTTTTGGTGCTACTCTGTTCTGTTATTTAAGTTAATGAGAAACTACAAAAGCCTAATCCAGAGAGGATGTCAAAGGGCACAGATCCACTAAGAATGAGGGTATGGGTTACTCCTCCAGGAGAGGAGCTGAGACCTGCTGATGTTCTTGTTGAGGGTGGAGGAAATACAGAATTAGTAGTAGAGGAACTTAGATATAAATACAATCTAGAGCCATGTGACCAGTTGCAGAGCTGAATTATAGATGGCATGAGTGCTTCTGCTGTATTTTGTTAAAAGTGCATTTGTACAGATATTTGTTTTCTTCAGTTTCTGTATCATTTATTGCAACACAATTAGGGGAATATTAATGATTTTTATATTTAATTTTGAGATATTAAAAGAATGTCCCCCAAAGGACCTTGCCACTTATTCTAAATTTATAATGCATTTGCAGTTGTACAAGAGATAGTTATGTCATGTTAGGCATAATTATGACTTGGCTAAATATATAATGCATTTGTGATTGTACATGAAACTGTTATATTATGTTTAGGAGTTATTATCACCTGGTTATTGTTTTCTTTTGGAAATTAATCATGACATAAGGAGATATGATTACGTGTCAAGTTAACAAGTGGTAGACTTGTGATGCCTGATCTTGGTTGTCAACTTGACTACATCTGGAATGAACTAAAATCCAGAAATGGAGGACACACTTATGAGATATTTTTTGATTGGTTTGAAGTGGGTGAATTCACTTCTAGTTTGGACCTTTGAGGTAGGAAGACACACACTTTTGATTCAGATTTTGAGGCAGGAAGACACACTATTAATCTGGTCCATACCTCATGCTGGAAGTCTATACAAGGACATAGAAAGAGGAAACTTGCTCTTTACCTGCCTGCCCTCAAATTGTTAGCACATTCCTTCCCTGGCATTAGAACATACTTCTTTAGGATTCTAACATATACTGAAAAGCACCTGAGACATCCAGCTTTGTGGACTGAGCAACTACTGGATTCTTGGACTTTCTGCTCATAGCCAGCTAGTGACAACAGCCTAAAAGTTATTCCAAGCAGTCCCATTTATTTATTCTATATAATTTTGTTATTCTAGAGAACCCTGATGAATACAGTTGTCTTTCAAAATTCTCTAAATTATTATTTAGCACCTGATCCCATCTTCCATACCCTGTGTTATTTATTGTTATCCTTAATTATCAAGTTACACAGCTGGCTAGGTCGCAACATACTCTCACCACATATCACCTTTGCACCACCAATATTAACTGTATGTGACCCTAACTTCGTAATATATGTCATGAACATGTGAATATCTAACTTAAAATGCTATACATTTGGAGTTCTGCTCTTTTAAATTTCATTGGGAGAATTGCTAAAGCACAAGACTGTCATAACATGAAATAAATTGAGAAAATGGATTAGATAAGATTTGAGTGATAATGTCAATCAACTTTCTGCTATTTAATTAAATTGAGGAGATAATTTATAAAGAAGTGCTGGTGGCTATGTCAGAGGAACAGCAGGTAACAGTTGAAGTTCAAGATGTCAGCCCACCAGGAGGAAACTCCCTGGTGGGTGAATCTCAGTTAGGCAAGGCCCCCAAGACCACAGACTCTGGAATATCTTTTGCTTCTGCTGTGCCTTTACATGTTTGCCACTATCTTTCTTTGGTATACTGCATGGTGTGATTGGGTGTGGGGAGATCCCCAATGTCTGTAATATAGTGTGTTTATCTCATGGAAACATCTTGTTCTACTGGACATTTTTACTTGTGGATTACTATGAAGATGATTTCTTCCTAAGCAGTACTATCTGACTGATAATAATAATGTTAGTTTATACAGAGTTTTGAAATGTAAACAAAGAAGTGTCACATTGCTACAACACATGAGTTTCTATGGAGGAGCCATATAGACTATGGGAATGATTGATAAAAAAAAGTGAGTCACAGTTAGCCTAGCTAGCTTAAATTCTTTTAAACTTAATGTTGGGAGATGTGTTTACAGACTTTGGAGTGCATCATAGCTGAAACAAAGCTTTGAAAATAACTTAAAGTTAGATTAAGATATTTTTGTCAAATAGCTTTGTGATGAAAAACCCAAGAAGATAAACCCAAGAAGTTTTAGAAAGGCACATAGTTGAAGGTAGAACTCTTTAAGGTCAGGGAACAAGAACAAAGCAGCCCAATTATTACTAGCTGATGCACCTATCCCCAGAGTCCTCTGTCTCCCAGGAATCTACTTTTTCCCTCCAGAGTTCTTTCTTTCCCTGGAAATCCCATCTATTCTCTTCCTGCCTAACTACTGGCCATTTAGCTCTTTATTAAACCAATCACAGCAATACATCTCCACACAGTGTACAACTATCCCACAACAGGTAGCATATCAAGACAGGAACACAAAGCTGATCATAGGAATCCACCTCAGGAGCCCAGGAGAAAGGGAAGGAAGAAGAATCTAGGTTTGTGCAATTCCCTCGGAAGGTACATCTTCAGAGACCAACAGAATTTTCACTAGGCCTTACCTTTTAAAATTCCCACCACCTCCAAGTGGTGCCCCTCTGGGTATCAGCTTGTGGCTAAAGGACCTGCCCAAAAAGAACAGTGAGACACCACAAGCCAGAGGGAAACCTGTAGAATCTGAATCTTAGAGACACAGATGAAAGGCTATACTTATAGAGAAGATGGAGGAAATAAGAAATGTGGGCCCTGGAATTAGTTAAATCCTTAAACTATATTCCTACCATGTACAACTACAGGGGAGTCTTAACCTCTGTGACTCTCCCTTTCTTCTGTAAATCTAAACTAAGTTTCTTTCTCCATGTAGACACTTGGTTCCTCTGTGTAGCTTTATGCAATTTCTTCCCTTGACAGAGATGTTTTGTTTTTATTTAATGGTCTAATCTGCTGGCCTCTTTTCTATGACAGTAATTGCCAGCATCATAACTACAATGAAATGGCTGCCATTGCTGCTTAATAGATATGAGCTATAGAGAATAATGTCATTTCTAAAAGCTTAAGTGGATTCACAATTAAGAACATATTAAAGTTCAAGGTCCTTGTAAATAAAAGACGTGTTCTCCTAATGACATAACCATTTGAATTAATAATCCAAGAAGTCTTTTTTCTTCTGTTTGAAAGCTCCAAATATTAATTTGATCCCATTTGTCCCTGACCTTCACATGGTGCAAATCCATGGGATACTATATGAAGGTCTACAGTTGTTACTCAGAATTTGTAGTACTGAGTCCACAGATTCAACAAGCTGTGACTCAGAAACCTTCAGGAACAAATTCCAGAAGGTGTCCAGATGCAAAGCCTGTACTTATCACACTTCAAACTCTCACAGGAATTCATCTTAATGCTAGGGTGCATAGGCCTTCCTGCTGGAGCCTCAGTATTCCCAAGTCTTTAGATCCTTTCCAGAACTCATTATCTGAATGCTGTTTTCCTCACATCACCTCATTTGCTTCTGTGACAAAAGTAAAGTGTGTCTAAAAGTCATCCAAGAACACAAGATCCTGAAAAGTTATAAAATAGTAAAAATAATCCCTCAAATACTGAGAGGAAATAGACAGTGCCACAGGTCAGGGAAGGAGGCACAGACTGTAGATATCTGCACTGAACATGGATGGAGGTTTTCCTTATCACCATTATATAAACCTTATATTGAAAGAATTCCTTACAGAGCATTTATGTATTACAATGCAATCTAAGTCTTCTAGAGACAATATAAACTATGGGAAAGGATTGTGTGATTTTTATGTGATGACTAGTATATTTCACAGAAGGAATTTGAGGAGTTGTGGAGTTTGATGTCCTGCTTTGGTACCCCATAGATTCTGAGTGATGACTGTGTCTTATGTGTGTGTATGAAATACTAACCTGACAAAGCATAATATGGACATAGTGCACCATACATATGTCTAAACATATATAAATAGCTGTATGTATGATATATATATATACACACACACACACACATACACACACATATATAAACATGGTTAAGTAATCAATCAATCAATCAGCAATTCCCCAGAGTGAATTACGTCAGTACACAGTTATCCTTATGATAACATCTATAATACATAGTGTATAATCACATTAATATGTATCCATACTTTCATTATTAATCAAATATAACTTAAGGTATAAAATGGCACTTTAAAAGAATAAACAGCATACATATAAGGATTCTGTTTTCCATGTAAACGTGAAAGGTGTTAGGATGTGACATGCTCATTGTATTCATTTTATCCTGGGATGTGAGAATGTAAGCGATGCCTTCACACATGTCAGTGGCACTGCCCTGCTAGTCATCACCTCAGGCATCCTCTGAATTGTCTCCTCCCACACCGTGGAGATTGCGGGACTGTCTCTGCCTTCAAGTCCCCCGACTGGAACATATTTTCGCTGGAGGAAACACCCCGCATGCTGATCTTAACCTCATTTCTTGCCTCTGAAGCTTTGCTTGTTCTATATATGTTTTCAGTAGAGTGTCCTTTAGCATTATCTCCCTATTATGAGACTAAATACTAACTACTTGGCCATGTTCTAGCAATCCAGAATAGCCATTTTTGCCCACCTCTGTGTCTGCACTAACATCTTGTGACTAATAGATAAAAATCTTTTCAGAATCTGTAACTTATCAGATCACTGGCTTATACCAACCCCAAAGCTAGGAATGGCATCAGATAACATTTTAGTGCCATGTCCTCCATCTTGCTGTATCTGCCTCTGATATACCCACCAATATATTTTAAAATTAGCTTGACTTATTGTCTTTGTTTTGTAAAACATTAAACACTTCAGAAAGCACTTTCATGCTGAAACATGGAATTTGGGGTGACCTAAATCTGTGTTCCCAGGGTCACACAAAATGGCTCCAGAATAAACTCTTATTTCTCTTTGAATAAAAAAAAAACAGGCCCAGGCTGCGTTGAAGGCAAAGCAGAGAGCAGAGGTTCTTCAGTCCACGCAACGGTTCTTCTCTGAACAGCAACAGAGCAAACAGACAGGAGGCAAAGCCCAGACAGTGGACAGTGATTCAAGTAAACCCCCCGAAACACTGATGGACCCTCCTGGTGCCTGTCAGGAAAAAGTAGAAGAAAAGCCACCCCCTGCACCCACCATAACCACCAAGTCTGTTAGAACTGCACCAATCAAACCTCAGGTGATCAAAACTGAAGAAACAAAATCTTAAAAGCTTTGGTTTATTTTGGGGTATTGGGGATGGGTGGGCAGGGAAAATGAAATCAAATAATGCCAGCAGCCAGGGGGTAGAATGGCCTGTGACGTTATCCTGTGTAGAGCTTGAAGATGCTCAAGGGGCATAGAGCATTTACACTGACAGAGCTGCCACTCCAGTTAAAAGGAGGCTCTACAGGCTTGCACCTACTGTGGAACGTCTGCTGGGTTGACATGTACCTTCGGTCTGTTTATATACAAGTGTGTCCACACATGTGTAAGTGCATACAGTTTAGATCTAAGGAAGGAGCTTTGTGACTCAATGAGACACCAGAAATAGAAGGAAAATGACAACACCGTGGCTCAGTTGGGCACTGGGTGGTCCCATTGATAGATCAGCTGTGGTTCTTTTGCTCCCTTGTGTTCTTTGGATGTGTCTGTGGCATTTCTAGGCTTGAAAGTAAAATGATGCTAACTGGTGCTGGATAGAGGAGCCGTATTTTTTATTACGGCAGCTTGTTATTTTTGTAACATGGTGATTTGGTTGAACACAATAAAGTACAGTAGTAACTGAAAAAAAGACATATTCTGATTTTATGTGTATACACAATTTCTAATCCAGACTATGTATCATTCAGATAAAAATGCTCAGAGACTTCGAGGTGAACTTGAGCTGGTATCTGGCTGTCTTCCATAATGGACTGACAACTTCTCTCTGTTTTCTTTGAGCTTCTGTCCTATTTGGCCCTGTCTCTGTAGATGCTTGAATTCTTCTTCTTCTTCTTCTTCTTCTTCTTCTTCTTCTTCTTCTTCTTCTTCTTCTTCTTCTTCTTCTTCTTCTTCTTCTTCTTCTTCTTTCTTCTTCTTCTTCCTCTTCTTCTTTCTTCTTCTTCTTCTTCCCCCTCCTCCTCTTCCTTCTTCTTCATGTTTTTGTTTTGTTTTGTTTGTAGAATGGTGCCAAAGACTGGGAGATTTTTGAATAATGGTATATACTGATGGTAGTAATTTGTATTCCTATTAGGGAGGTCTGGGGAGTCATTAGATTTGTAGATTGAATTAAGTGAGGAAAACATAGCCAGAATCAGTGTTATAATTACAAATGGTATACATGCAATAATAAAGTCCCAGCATTTTCCCCAAAGTGCTGTGACAGAAAGAGGTGGAAAAACTCTGCCTGGAGAATGGCAGTATTGGAAGAAAATAATTTATTTGTGCAGCCTTTTTCTCTGGCATCATTGTAACTCCATTTAAAGAAAGCATTTCTGTCATGTCATTCTTTGTACCATAGATTTCTCACTAAAATACAAATTTTTCAACATGGTATCCAAGATTGTCCCTCAATTTCTCTCTCCCCTTCCTCCCTCCCTCCTTCCCTCCCTCTCTCCCTCCCTCTCTCCCTCCTTCCCTCCCTCCCTCTCTCCCTCCCTCCCTCTCTCTCTCTCTTACACACACACACACCACACAGAGGAGGAAGGGAAAAAGGGAGAGAGAGAGAGAGAGAGAGAGAGAGAGAGAGAGAGAGAGAGAGAGAGATAGAGAGAATGAATCATAGATTCAAAACTTATAGGTATTCTTTCTCTTAAAATCCTAGTAAGTTTTTAATAGTTAACTTGCACCTTGTCACACACAAATGTGGAATCTGTCAGTCAGGCTGTGTACAAGCTGCAAAGCCTCAGTCCTATGCAAGTATAGTCATGGCTTTTTCCATATGTAGATTAGCTCAGGCCATAGTCATAACCATTGTTTTGTTTATTTCTGTATCATTCCTCTTGGCCTTGAGATCATCAGGCCAGGTAGCAAATATTTCTCACAATAATTGTGCAAGCATGAAGGTAACTCCTGCTGTGTTAGGCTATGTCAAGTCTTGACTTCCACCACAACTGAAAATTATGTCTAAATAAAAGTAAGCTGCATGGCCAACCCAAAGTCCCAGAGAAGGAAAGATACACTTGTTATTATGAAGAGATCTGCACAACTACATGGGCAGGAAATGCAGACGGAGGCTTCAATGGAGGATAATGTGCAGTACTTTTGTCTGTCCCAAGGCATGCAGTGATATTGTGTTCCCCAATATATTGTACACCCTAATAAACTTATCTGGGGTCAGAGTACAGAACAGCCACTAGATACAGATGCCAGAAAATGGTGGCACACACACCTTTAATCCTAGCATCCAGAGGCAGAGATTCATCTGTATCTCTGTGAGTTCAAAGCCACACTGAAAACCGCCAGACATGGTGACACACACCTTTAATCTCAAGAAGTGATGGCAGGAAGCAGAACGGTATATAAGGCATGAGGACCAGGAACTAGAGCCTGGTTAAGCCTTTAGACTTGAAGCAGCAGTTCAGCTAAGATTCATTCTGGATGAAGACTCAGAGGCTTCCAGTCTGAGGAAACAGGATCAGCTGAGGAATTGGCAAGGTGTGGTGGCTGTGGCCTGTTCTGTTTCTGTTACCTTTCAGCCTTTACCCCAATATCTGGCTCAGTGTTTGTTTTTATTGATAAGACCATTTTTTTGGCCTGTTATTCTTTTTTTCTTTCATTTTTCTTTATTAAGAAATTTTCTACTCACTCCACATACCACACACAGATCCCCGCTCCTCTCTTCTCCCAGCCCTCTTTCCCAAGCCACCTCACATCCCCATATCCCCCAAATCGAGATCTCCCAAGTTTTCCCCTGTCCTCCCCAACCCCCGCTGGCCTTCCCCCCAGCCCACTTCCCATTCCCATCTCCTCCAGGGCAAAGACTTCCCTGGGGATTCAGCTCAACCTGGTAGATTCAGTCCAGGCAGGTCCAGTCCCTTCCTCCCAGGCTGAGCAAAGTATTCCTGAATAAGCCCCAGGTTTCAAACAGCCAGCTCATGCATTAAGGACAGGTCCTGGTCCCACTGCCTAGGTGCCTCCCAAACAGTTCAAGCTAATCAACTGTCTCACTTATCCAGAGGGCCTGATCCAGTTGGGGGCTCCTCAACTATTGGTTCATAGTTCATGTGTTTCCTTTCCTTTGGCTATTTGTCCCTGTGCTTTTTCCAATCTTGGTCTCAACAATTCTCACTCACAAAATCCCTCCTCTTTCTCGCCAATTGGACTCCTGGAGCTCCATCTGGGGCCTGGCCATGGATTTTTGCATCCGGTTCTTTCAGTCATTGGATGAGATTTCTAGCATGACAGTTAGGGTGTTTGGCCATCCTATCAACAGAGTAGGTCAGTTTGGGCTTTCTCTTGACCATTGCCAGTAGTCTATTGTGGAGGTATCTTTGTGGATTTCTGGGGACCTCTCTAGCACTTTGCTTCTTCCTATTCCCATGGGCTCTTCATTTATCATGGTTTCCTTTTCCTTGTTCTCCCTCTCTGTTCTTGATCCAACTGGGATCTCCCGCTCCCCTAAGCTCTCTTTCCCTCAAAAGTTGCCCTTCATTACCCCCCCCCCATCCAGTTTGCTCATGTAAATCTCATCCATTTCTCTGTCATTGGGCGATCCCTGTGTCTTTCTTAGGGTCCTGTTTTCTAGGTAGCCCCCCTGGAGTTGTGAGTAGCAGTCTAGTCATCTTTGTTTTATATCTCCTATGAGTGAGTACATACCAAGTTTGTCTTTCTGAATCTGGGTTACCTCACTCAGGATGATTTTTTCTAGATCCATCCATTTGCCTGCAAACCTCATGATATCATTGTTTTTCTCTGCTGAGTAGTATTCCATTGTGTATATGTACCACATTTTATTTATCCACTCTTCAGTTGAAGGGCATCTAGGTTGTTTCCAGGTTCTGGATATTACAAAAAATGCTGCTATGAACATAGCTGAGCAAGTGCCCTTGTGGTATGATTGAGCATTCCTTGGGTATATGCCCAAGAGTGGTATAGCTGGGTCTTGGGGGAAATTGATTCCCAAATTTCTAAGAAATTTTGATTTTCAAAGTGGCTGTACAAGCTTGCATTCCCACCAGCAGTGGGCCTATTCTTTTATTATGGTCTCTAAACTATTCTTAGACTAGGAGATATTTGTTTTATGATCATTGATTTAAAAGATGAAATTCAGATGCTTCTGCAATACATGCAAGTTATTTACCAATATCTAATATTTGCCCTTTCAAAAAGTGCCTGGTATTATTCACATTCACAGTGCCATCATCTGCTTGAAGAGGCATTTTAGTATTTCTTCATGAGATAAACATGATAAACAGTGAGTCATGTCTCAGAGACAGTGTTTCTTGCAGACATTTTACATGGCAGTATAAGTAAAAACAATGCCTACATTATAGAGGGTTTATGTTGTCACTATTTTCTGAGGTTGTCATCCAGTTGCTATACATCTCTGCCTGCAGCCAGTTATGACAAGCCACCTTTCTCTTACTCTCTTCCTCCCTCTTCTTTCTTCCTTCACTCCTGTTTCCCACTTTCATTCCATCTTTCCCTTCTCTCTTATTTTCGATATGTCTCATGATATGTCTGCTACACATCCATGAATCTTCATTATAGTTCATAAAGGGAAAATATCAAATAAAAAATTCTTAATCATGGCATACCTACTCCCATTTTCCATTTTGATCATTGACAAAAATCATGAATAACAAAGGCTTACAATCCTCACTGCATCTTCATGTAGCAGGAATCTTGCCAGTTCCTCTGCTGGTCCTGTTTCCTCAGACTGGAAGCTTCTGTGTCCTCATCCCAATGGCTCTCCGCTGAATTGCTGCTCAAAAGCCTGAATGCTTAACCAGCTAAAATCTTAACCAGCCAAATGCTTCTAGTTTCTGGTCCTCACGCCTTATATATCTTTCTACTTTCTACCACCACTTCCTGGGATTAAAGGCTGGCTTTCTGGGATTAAAGGCGTGTGTCATCTGTGTGTCATTGGCTGTTTCCAATGTGGCCTTGAACTCACAGAGATCCAGAGGGATTTCTATCTCTGGAATGCTAGGATTAAAGGTGTGAGTGCCACCATTTTCTAGCCTTTGTATCTAGTGGCTGTCTGTTCTCTGACCCCAGATAAATTTATTAAGGTACACAATATTTTGGGGAACACAATACCACCACATCTTCATTCCTTAGTAGTCTAAAGAATTGCTTCTGAGCTTAACAGTCTTTGACCCCTAAGTAGTGTTTTATTCAACCCCTCCTTAATAGTGCAGTTTTTTTTGGCTAATGAGATTCTGTAGACCCCCATCATTACATGCCAATGTTATTAGCTACTCTTCAGAAATTGACAGTAAGATCTATTGCTGGAGATACCACATATTTGAGTCATAGAACATGGAGAAATTAAGCTGGTACTCACCTGGAAGCTTCATCCATTCTGGCTAGCTTTCATAGCTCTGAAAAGGGTTACCAGATGAGAAAAGTAGTCATTGATTTTACGCAGCTATGAATCTTAATAACTACAGTAACAACTGACCTGGTATGACATGCCCTTGGGTGTAATACTTGCACAAAAACAACGAGAGTAACCAATCACTTATTTACTGGATTTAAAGCCTGATCACCAGGATTAAACCCATACTTAGTACCATTATAAGGGCCAAAATCTTGTGAATAGATAGGTTATAGGCCCTAGGGGAGAACATACTACTACTATTCCAATAAATGGACACAGCATTAAACTGACTCCTAATGACTTATCATTATACCCATAGATGAATGTATTTCTCAATCCTTTTCAGAGAAGCTTCTATTTGGAATGGATGGCAATTAACACAGAGAACCATAACTGGCCACAGAATGTCCAGCTTTAAATGGAACATACACATGACACTCCCTCCTCTCAAGGCTTAGGAATCATTTGAGGAAGAGGAGTCAGAAAGAGTAAAATATCCTGAAGCAGTGAATGACTACAGTGGAGCAGTATCTTCCAGACAAAGCAGGAAAACTTCACATATGAACTCATGGTGGTTGTGATGTAGAAGCTTAGGATCCAGACCAACTCTCAATGTGGAGAGGGAAGGTAGGCACAAAGTTCCATGCCTAACCAAGGAGCTATTGTACATTGATAGCTGTTGGATGAGGGAGGTTGCTATTCTTTATGTATGTCTTTAGAATGTATTCCCTGTTAAGTTGACTATGATTCAGTGAAAGGCCACACATCCAAGAATGCATAGGCAGCACAAATTGGACTTGATGCTGTAAAACAACAATAACAACAAACTAAAGCACACAATGTTGAATGAGTGAGGCTTGGAGTTGAATGTAGGAGGAGATGACTGAGAAGTGAGTATGATCGAAACACACTGTACAGAATGCTGTGGGATGTTAATGTATGTCCTGTGGGAGCCCTTCTTGGGTTCCTTGTGGCGTTACCCAGCAGGCTTGCATAGAGGATGATTAGGACCATGGGCCTGAGTGCAGGTGTCTGAGATGGTCTGCACTTGGCTGTACTGGGGGATGGTCTGTATGTCAAGTTGCTCTGATTGGTCAATAAATAAAACCTGATTGGTCGTGGCTAGGCGGGAAGTATAGGCGGGACTAACAGAGGAGAAATAAAAGAACAGGAAGGCAGAAGGAGACGCTGCTAGCCACTGCCAGGACAAGCAGAATGTGAAGATGCTGGTAAGCCACGAGCCACGTGGCAAGGTATAGATTTGTAGAAATGCGTTACTTTAAGATATAAGAATAGTTAATAAGAAGCCTGCCACGGCCATGCAGTTTGTAAGCAATATAAGTTTCTGTGTTTACTTGGTTGGGTCTGAGCGGCTGTGGGACTGGCGGGTGACAGAGATTTGTCCTGACTGTGGGCAAGGCAGGAAAACTCTAGCTACAACAGAATTCTCAAAGAACTAATTATTTTTAAAACGCAGCACTTTTCCTAAATCTCACAGTCATATGACATTCCACAGCCTTTGGCCCAGCTGACCACCTATTACTTCCTGACATGCTGCTTCTTGGCTTTCTTAGTCTATCCCATGGTGAATGGCATTAGAGTTAGAAGTCAAATTTCTGCAAGAGTTTTGATGGGGAAAATTATGGCATAATTTTCTGAAGGAGCGCCACTGACCTCTTACATGCTGTACCACGCCGTGTTAGCCACTATCAAATGTCAGCATTTGTTTTTGCTCAAGTAATTCAATTTTTCCCTCCAATTCTGGCTTTACCAGGCACTGTTACCTCAACCACAACCTTTTACTTGACAAGGATGCTGCGCTCATCCCTAAACTCCAACTTTTCAAAAAGAAAGTGAACAGTAGGATGCACAGAGCATATACTTTAGACTCAGATGCCCTTATATTAGTTACCTTCCTCATTGCTGTAAGCAAATTTATAACAGGGAGCAATTTCAGGGAACGAGGTTTTATTCTGGCTTACCTTCTGAGGATATGGTCTGTCATGGTGGAGAAGGTACAAAATCAAGAAGGCTGTGGCAGTGGGGGCATGAGGCTACCTGTTCCATCTAGGTGGATCATGATGCAGAGAAAGAGATGGACTGGAAATGTACTGGGACATGATCTTCAAGGCCTACCCCCTAGTGACTAAGTTCATCAAGCTAGGCCCCCAAATTCTACAACCTCCCAAAACTATGCCACCATCTGAAAACCAAGTATTCTAACACACTAGCCTGTGGGGGACATTTTACATCCCAGACCATAAGAACACCTGAGTTGCTGTTTCAGCTTGGATATTTGTCAGATATGTGCCCATAGGGAAGACATTTAAAAGATATATGCAGCTAAAATTGGAGAAATTCAGCTTACCTCACAGAACTACAATGAACATTATGCATTTAACACACTTTCTGAAATATGGGAGTGATAGTGTATGTTGACATTTCATAATGTGTCTCTCATTTTGGAACTTGATTTCCTTAAACAGCATCTTTACAAACTCATAATGAATTTCTACCCCTCTCTAGCTTTATATCCTAATAGTTATTAGGTCCTGTTGACTTTATTTCTTTGTTGGTCTTTGAATCTGTACTTGTCTTCCTCTGAATCTGCCCTTATTTACAGTTGGATTACTGTGAAATTTTTCAGTTGTTTCTCCTTCACCAACTCTTACCATTTCCTTCAAACCCAACATTGCCAAACATCACTGCCCTTATATTTTCCCCCAAATAACTTCTGTGGCTCACCTGTACATTATAATAATCGAACCCTTCACCTATCAGCCCCCACTCTCCCCATTGAGAACTTTAGCTCCCTTTCAGTTCCACTTTCTTTTACTGTTCTTTCTGAACTATGTTCTAGATGCTTGGGTAGTTAACTAAACACACTGTGGGGGCTCAGAACAGCTTCCTATCTTGAGTGTGTCACTGCCCTTTACAAACTCCAGCTACACTCAACTGCTTCTTCCTCAGGGGTTGGTGAATATGTTGATTGTAGCAATGTTATTGATTTTTGTGTTTTCTTTCATTTCTTATATTGTTAGGGTGTAGGTTTCTTTTCTCAGCATGGATTAAGCCCATTGGAAGCAGCAATAACAAGTCAATAAAGAAGTGAGATAAAAATACAAATATAAAACCAGGATTGAAAAGAACAAATATACCAAAATTACTGTTGCAGAATATTTGTTTACACTGTAAAGATGTGTCTCTACCTAAGGCGCCTTCTGATTGGTTTAATAAAGAGCTAAACGGCGAATAGTTAGGCAGGAGAGACTAGGCTGGACTTCTAGGAGGAGAGAGAACTCTGGGAAGAAAAAAAGGTGGAATCACCAGCCAGACATGGAGAGGAAACAGGAGGTGAAGATGGAAAAGAGGTTAACATCACATGGTAGAACATAGATGAATAGAAACAGGTTAATTAAGTTACAAGAGCTAGTTAGACAAAAGCCTATGCCAAAGCTAAGCTTTCTTAATTAATAATAGGTCTCCAGGTCATTATTTGTGGGCTGGCAGTCCCCATGAGAAAGCTGTTTAAGTAATTAAGTAAGTAAAACAAATTACTGTTTAAGTAATTGTGAGCCATCTAAATCCTTTAGTAAATATGATTCAATTATTTGTTTTTTTACTACATAGATATAACTTGAATGCCTTCCCTATGTTCTACACTGTGCTACGTCCTTGGGATATAAATGCTTAGATCATAGTGTATTTAATAAAGGAAGGACATATACATCAGATTTTCCAAAAGAAAGAAATTTGGTGCCCTTCCCCCAAACAAAAGTCCCTTCAATTGTAGTACTTGACATGAATTTATTTGAAATTTTATGAGGAAATTAAATATTGGGCAAAGGCCTCAACAGTTCTTTCCTAAAGGTAAAGGAATCCATCACTCTCAATATCTCGAGGCCATCTTTATCCTTATATAATGCCTCCTTGTTCGTTGGTATCATCATCAGATTGAGGCAAATTCATTAACACTCTATCTTTAGTACATTATGCAAACTGATCCTGTGCATCTACTTGATATTCATATCAAAGTGCTCTTAGTTATCAGACCTTACCACTGGCATTGACCAATTTATCTTGTAACTTATGAGTGAAAATCCTATTTAACCATTCAAATTAGCAAACTGAAATAAATCTACACCCATGTCTCAAAAGCATCCTGCTCTTCTTTTAATTCACTGTTATGTACAACTACATGTGCCATTTAAGAATTTCTCTCTGACATTTGATGCTCTTCTTTGGAACTAGGACAAAACATCTGGAGTGCTCTGCACTGCTTTTCAGATTACATAGTTCCCCTTCTTTCACCTCTGCTTTTTTTTCTGGTTTTGTGAAATTTTCTCTTTTGATGTGGAATGAATAATGGGTTGCAAGTATCTATATCATTTCTAACAGATACTAGGCAAAAAGTTACACTACTGAATGCCACCGAAATCAGCCCTTACATAAGCAACTGATGGTTATTTTTATATAGTAGAATGTTTTCAGCTAGGAACATGATGTTCCTGTGATCTACTGACAAAAGAACAGAGTGTAAGAGGCACATGTCTCCAAGTCTGATGACCTGAGTGTGATCTGGTTTCTGTAAGTACAGCAGAAGGAGATAACTGACTCCCTCCAGTTGTCCTCTGATCTCCATACACTCATCTTGACACACATACACAGAGGATAAATAAATAAATGTGACTTTAGCCCTCGTTTAAAGAGTATACATAGTCAGATGCTGCTATTATGAGTTGACTGATTTTATTTTATAAAATTTCAATCATATTCCAAATTGTGCATAAAAAATCAATTAGATGGAAGATTTTTCTCTTGGGTTTTTGCTTTGAATATGAGACATTTTTAAAACTCATACTGTCACTGTCTCTGCTACTGGCTAGTTTTGTGCATATAGCCAGGAAGGCAGGGAATGCTCAATATATATATATTACAGACATATTTCCACTCTTAATTTTATCATTCTATTCTGTGCCATTTGAAATTCAAAACCATGTGGTGGTCACTGATTCTGATAATTCATTTTAACACATCACTACAGCTGTTCATACCATCTCTGGAGCTAATAGCTGCACTAAGATGCCGTTTATTATTCTATGTTATTCCATAGAACAGAGTTCTTTTTGCTGATGGTCCTTCTCTACTAGGAAAATGTCTATGCATAGTATATAGGTGCATTAAATAGGTATACAAGTCAAACATTTACTGATAAAAAATCACAAAGAAATGTGTTTTTGAAACTCTTTGTTTTTTTTTAAAATTACCATTTATTAATGATGGGCACATATTTGCGCAGTGAGTGAATGTACTCATTTATATTTAAACAAAGAATTAAGAGCTGAAAAGATGGCTCTGTAGTTAAGAGAAATCGCTATTTTTTTAGAGGACCTGAGTTCAGGCCCCAGTACCTGTATGGTAGCTCACAACTATCAGTAGGTCTAGTATCCAGTGCTCTTCTTCTGGCCTTTGTGAACACTGCATGCAAGTGATGCACATATATACATGCAGGCAAACACCATGCACATAAAATAAAAATAAATAGTAAAATGTTGTTTAGAAAGAATTAATTAAATCTTGGCCCAGTATCTGGTACTTTAGGACATGCATCACTGTCAGTGTTTCTT